GCTGTAATTTCTGGTTTGTATTTTGTTTTATAATTATATCTATGATTGTATAAGCTTTATTCATTCATTCACATTCAAATATTATTTATTTATTTATGAAAGGAGGATTTATTCCACTGGCAAATTATGTAAAAAGTGAACTTGGATTAGATTATGCTTTTGCAAACGAGGTAAGATTTTTCTTGACAATCTCTATAACATCAACAGATGTTCCTTTTAATAATAAGACACGTCGTTTTAATGACTCCTTAAAATCAATTTCACCATTCATTGCCAATTCTGTTATTGCCTTAATAATATAATAATCGTAATAATAATTATTATACAAAATATTTACAAATAAGAACTATATGCATATATAAAACAACAAAACATACTGCTACATCATTTACAACACCAGCCAGCCTAGCAATTTCATCAATTACTTCTTGTTCAATTAACGTAGAATCCATATCAAACACCACCAACCTTTTATGTCTTCTAAATATATCATAAGGTTGAAGTGCAACATCAGTGTAATAACTTCTACTTAATTGAAAAAGGTCTCGTCTCAATTTATCGAAATCAGTTTCTAAAGGTATCGAAAGTTTATAATCAGCACAAGTTAACATCCTTCCTTCATTTAATCTTTGCATTTTTTCTACAGATATTTTCTCTCGTAGTAATAACTTTGTCCATTCATTCATAAATTTTGTTGCAAGTCCATTCTGATTTAGAATGGTTGCGGCATATTTAACTCGATTGACATATGGAGCATCTTCCAATGATATTGGTGGTTTATCTTGATCACCAGCAAAATTTTGTAAATCGATAGCTAAACTAGCATCCCATTTTTTAGCTGCATCAGAAACATCATTAAATAATTCTTCTGCATTCTCACGTTTTAGAGTGATCAAAACACTGTATGTGACCTTATGGTAAAGTCTGGATAAATTGAAATCTTCGATTACATAATCATGTTTGGCCATGCATTCTAGTACACATCCAATTATATCGGTTCCATGTGAACCTGTGATAGATATTAAAGCCTTTTGATCTTTTGATAAAGATGCCAGTGATGGAAATCTATTTTTTTGTATTGATGTATTTGTTGTAACGACATTATTATTGTCGTTATTTTTATTATCTAATAAAGAGTTTGGATTTCCAAGTTGATCCATAAATTAAATTAAAAAATTAGGGGTGCAAATAAAGATTCCGATGCTAGAATTTTTTTGTCTTCAGATCATCTGGTACTACTTTTCAAATTTTATTACGTCAATTAGCTTTCCAAATTGCGCATTTTTTCCATTGGTTGGTTGGTCAATCACGAATGTTCACTACAACCAAAAAAAGCAACCCGACTAATACCCCACCATAGAGCATGGGGTTTGACAATGATGATATCTGGACCTGATCAGGTTGTTGGGATTGATCCTAGAAGAATCAGCTTATTTGGGGATAAAAAAGGAGAATGAAATACAAAGAATGGGTATGCAATGGCTGGATTCACAAGAGCATATTAAAAATAAATAAGTTTATATCGGTTTGTAGCTTGGGTTCTCAAAATTTTGCATGCAAAGTTTAAAATTTCTATCGTGCCTAGGAAAATAACAATTAAAAAAATAAAAATTC